TGCTCTTCAGGCTGCCAAGGCTCAGGCTCATTTGACAGCTACTTGGAGCCGGTTTGCGTCTCTCCGGCCAAGGTGTGAGCTCAGCCGGGAGGGCTCTGCCACAGACACCCTGGCCCGCGTTGGCTGTCCCCCAGGCACCAGCCCCCCTGGCCGGGGCCACAGGCCGAGGCGTTGGTGCTGCGCCACAGCAGGGGCAGCCCCAGCTTCGGTCCCAGGGCCGGGAAGCGGAGGGAGCCGCAGGGGGAGGACGGTTTGCTCAGGCCTGCGAGGAAGGGGCCGGGCGCAGGCTCAGCTCCCAACCGCTGATGGAGCGGCCCAGGAATCTGCCGCTGGCAGCTGCTCCAGGCACTGGCTGCAGGTCTTGCTGGAGACCTGGCCCTATGGAGACATGCGCAGGGCTTCTCCTCCCTGCAGCCTGCGTCTCGCGTGGAGCAGCCCACAGCTCCCCCATGTGTGCTCCGGGTCCCGGCACGCCTTGTCTCGCCCCAGGAGCCCTGCCCCGGTCCCCAGCTGAGCTCTCAGGTCACAGCACGGCCTCAGGCATGCGGTGACTGGCCTTATGGGTGCTGCCCAGCCTGGGCCTGGAGGAGCTCGAACAGACCAGTGGCTACAGCCACACTCCTGTCCTCAGGGGCTAGGGGCCCTGACTAAGGTCAAGCAGGGAGTCTGTGGCAGAGCTGGGGATTGTGGACAGTTCCCCTGGGCCCAGCCCAGCGCTCCAGCCCCCACGTCCTTCTGGTGCCTCTGTGTGCAGCCCCCTTGAGGGCTCAGCTCCAGGAGCCCCCAGCATCTCCCAGGCCTCCCCTCCTCCCAGGGCATCAGCGGGACACCTGCAGCCTGGCCCCCAGCGCTGCCGTCCCCCCGCCCCCAGCCCAGCAGCGCCACGGGGCTGAGTGCGCCGGTCCTGGCCACGGGAGTGCGAGCCCCCGGCCCGGGGCCCAGGCTGAGGCAGCAGATGCGGGGTGCAAGGAGCAGGTGTGTTGTCATTCAAGAACCTCCAGCTGCAGCCGCACCCGCGCCTGCTGGGAAATGCTGCAGGAAGTGTTGGTGCAGGAGGTCGCCAGGCAGGCTGCGAGCCAGGGAGCCAGGTGCAGAGTCCCCTGCCCTCACCCCATCCTGGCAGGCTTCCTGCGGCTGCCTGGGGCCCAGCCCCTCCCTGCACAGCCGTGCCCCTGTACCAAGCCTGGATGCTGCTGGGGGGCCCAGCCCCACGTTGTGCTGTACTGGAGCACCCTGAACCTGCCTGGAGCCAGCCCATGCCCTGGCATTGGCAGGGGTGTTGGACATGGAGGCCCCACCCAGGGGCCCTGTGCTCGGAGCTGTGCATGGGTCCTTGTCCTAAGCACCCTCATTGCTAAGGGTGGCTGCATCCTACTGCTCGGCCATCCCTGGGCAGCAGCAGCAGGGCAGGGGGCTCCACCCCCCGCCCCCCTGCTGCCTCTGCCAGGCCAGAGCTGGCAGGAGGAGGCTGCTGTGGGTGGGAGTGGGTGATGCTCAGGCTGGTTCCTGTGTGCGTCCGGGGGGTGTAGGAGATGCAGCCTTGTCCCCGCCAGGTGTGGACGGACGTTTGTCCGAGCCAGAGCATGGGCCCCTCCAGGCAGAGCCTGGGGAGGGGGCAGCGGGAGCCCAGCACCCTGCATGCAGGGGGACGGGATGTGCCATGGGGCTCTGCAGTGGGGAGCACCCGGCCCTGCCATGGTGCTGTGTGGTGCAGCCAGGCTGGCACAGGGCCCCTGGCCCCAGAGGCTCCAAAATCTCGGTGGGTCGCTGCAGGTCAGTGCAGCCCCCCTGAACCCAGCCCAGGCCATAGCCCTGCCAGAAGGCCACGCTCCCTCTTTATGGGGCTGCCTTCCCGCCCCCGCAGCTCCCCTTGCCCGGGGCCTATTGGACAGACGCATCCTGCTGCGAGGTGCTGGGGCGACAGGCTAAGGAGCACGCGTGTCTGGGGCGCCCAGCGCAGGAGGCGTGGGGCTGGAGCAGGGTGGCGTGCTGGCAGTGCCTGGGCAGGGCTGGGGCTGGGGTCCTGAGTGGTGGGTGGGGAGCAGGGCACCGGCTGGGTCTCCTTTTGCCACCTGTGGCTGCAGATGAAAAGCAGCTGAGGATACGCGGCGCCTCCCCGACCTCGCCTCACCTGTGACCCTCGAAGGTGTCTGATGGGGGGTCCCATCCCGTGATGTGGGGGGTCTCTACATGCTCCTGCCTACCCCAGCCCTATCCTGTGCTGGGTGCAGGAACGGCTGGAGGGAGGGAGCGCAGGTCTGAAGTGCTCGCAGGGGGCTCTGGGCCAGGCTTACAAGGGATGTGGACGCCTGCCCCAGGGCTGATGCTGCTGTGTCCCCTCATGGGCTTGTGATGGGAGCGCGAGCAGCATGAGCTTGAGTGGCTCAGGGATGGCCCCAGCCTGGCGCCAAGTGCTGCCAGCGGGGAATTAACGCCGCGCAGACCTTGCATCCGGGGGGAGGTGGGGGAGGTGGCAGCCGGCCGCTGGGCACCGTCCCAGGCAGCGTGCCCTTGCAGTGGGTGGAGCTGGGGCACGGCCAGCCGGCACTCAGGCTCCCCTGGCTCTGCGTTCTTGGGCCGGGGCAGCTGATAGGGACAGCTGCGAGAGCAGGGGGCTGGGGCCAGGGCCAGCGCCACGTGCCTCCGGCGCCCTGGGAGCCTGGCGGCAGGTTTAATCTCGGCTCCCTCGGCGCTGGAGGGGGCAGCTGACTCGCCACAACCTACCTGCCTCCCCGGAGGCTCTTTCACCGTCCTCCTGCCGGCCCCTTGGGGGGAAGGAGGTGACAGGCGGTGGCCAGAGGCGAGATGAGAGCCAGGCCCTGCCCTTCCCCCACTCTACCCATTTCCTGCCTGTCCCCACTGGGCCCTTGCCAGGAGAGTGGCCTAATCACACTGGAGCAGGTCTTCCCGGTCCAGGAAATGGCCGAGCGGGTGGGGTGAGCTCAGCCCGTCTCTCAGCAGGAGGGAACTGCCTGCCCGTGACTCGCCTGACGTCAGGCAGGGCCAAGGCCGCATTGCTCAGGGAGGCTTGTGAAATCCCAGGCAGGGATTTGTCCACCAGCCCGCGCGTCACGACGGGTCCGGGCCGTGTCCTCAGAGCTTCCCGGACTGTCCGAGTCAGCTGCTGGTGAGAGCGAGCCCCAGAGAGGGGGCCGGGAAGCCAGACCGCGGCACCCCAGGGGCTTGGGGCAGGGGCCTGCAAGACTTCAACTTTCTGCCCAGGGAGCCATGGACCCCGCGCCTCCCTCCGTGCCAGGAGCCCCTCGGCTTGCTACGTGCGGAGCCACTCTGCTCAGAGCCTGGCCCCTCCTGGGACCCCCAGGTCCTGCCTGTGGCACCCCATGGCCGGGCCAGTGGCTGGTGCCTGGCACCCGGGTCACTCTGGCACTGGCTCACACTGGCGAGCGCCCGGGAGCTGTGACTTTCAGACTTGTCCCTGGGCAGCACGATTCCCCCTTTTCTGGGGCCCTGGAGGCTTGGAATAGTCCCAAGAATGGCCCCAGGGCTGC